GGCAAGACCCCTACCCCCCCCCGAAGCATACCCACAGGGCTGTATTTTTGCAGTGTGGAGCCTTTCTTGGCTGTAACAATGACCATTTACTGGCCAAGCTTCTGTGGGAAAGTTAGAGCGCAGCGGGAGTTGCTTTACCTGCATAATGTGCATAAGGAGGATAAGAGGGACCCACATTGTTGTCATAGGAAATACGGTGCAAGGTTACCGTAATTACTGTGGTATAAACTGGTGTTCTGCTGTGCCTAGATCTCCTCCTCTGGGGAGGGAAAATGGGGGAATTGCGTGTTTGCGGGGAATGCTTAATTCTTCCAGGGTGCAGGGATATCCCTTAGCACATGATTAAGGCAACACTTCACCCCAAGACAGAAATCTTCAAACATTTTTGCTCTAGGTTATCTAGAAAAGAATTTTCTAAAAACTATGCAGGCCCCAGGACTCATAGATTTTAAAATGGATATTAAATGTCTTTATTTTACTCTTATTTATTTATTTTTTTTAAAGAATTTTTTATTTATTCATTTGAGACAGAGAGATACAGAGATAGAGAGAGAGAACAGGAGCAGTGGGGAGAGGCAGAGGAAGAGGGAGAAGCAGGCTCCCTGCCGAGCAGGGAGCCCGATGTGGAGCCTGATCCCAGGACCCTGGGATCATGACCTGAGTCGAAGGCAGACGCTTAACCATCTGAGCCACTCAGGCACCCCTTATTTTTATTTTAAAAACTTTTTTGACCTTAAATGTTTTTATGTTTTTATTTTTTTAAAGTTTTATTTATTTAAGTGATCTCTACACCCAATGTGGGCCTCGAACTCACAATCCCGAAATCAAGAGTCGCATCCAGGCACCCCAATGTTAAATGTTTTTAAATTGCAGGTTGCAGATTCGATGATTTCTGGTGTATTGAAACATTTAAAAAATTGAGTAAAATTTCGTATCACTTTTTAAAATGTGCCCAATGGAATTGAAATACTTACCTGATACCTGCTGTCCTCTGTTTTAAAATAATATGAATAAGGTCTTCAGAAGTATTTGGAAATTTTGCCTTGTCTTCTTTTCTTCTTGGACTGGCATTTCCATTCCATATTTCCACATTTTATCATAGCAATGTTTTACTCTACTTGAAACCATGCCATTTATCACCTGTCAGAATTTTCTGGGACAGAATACATAAATTTTAAATTATTGCTTTTAATTTTCTGAGCTCATAAGGCTCTTAAGTGTTGACATTTTTCTCCTGCACTGAGTTATCATGATAGTTTTTAGTAATATGTAATAGATCAAAACAAGAAAGCATTACTTAAAAAAAAAAAGAAAGAAAGAATTACTTTTGATAAATAATTGTTAAACACAAGTGAATTTTTATCAGGAATCTACCTTGTAATGAGTGGTGTGGAGCGTCTCCCAATTACATCCCGTATTCTTGGATGGTGACTTTCTATTAAAGTGAGATAGGGCTTAGCAGCAATTCCTTTCCTGTTTTTCATTTTTACTTTGTTTCATATAAAAATTGAGGGGGGACTGAAGGAGTCTTGTAATAACTCAATAAACTAATGCCACTTGGTTTTTTTCCAGCAACTTCCAAGTTATATGCTGAAGAGCACACAGCAACTGCTTATGAAAGGTTATTTTTAGTGATCTAATTTGCTGACAGCTTGATTAGGCTCTCTTTCAATTTGGTTAAAAATACTAAAAAGGAATTGGAAGCAAGATGACTCGCAAAAGGATTTGTAACTTGTCATTGGTGTCCCTTTGGAGGTGTCCTAGAGGGTTTAACCTCAAAGCATTGGCCTGTGACATGGTGGAGGTAGTGAGAAGCGAGAGGGGGTGGTTGAGAAAGGGAGAGTGGGGCAGAGAACAGGCAAGACCCCTAGCCTGTTCTCAGGAAAGAGTCTGTATGGAAGTTGAGGACCTGGAAATTAATTCCTTTAAGAATAGCCATGTCTGGTTGGAGCGACCACCTCTGTGTAACCCCCGTTTGCAACCCGCTGCCCCAGGTCATGCCTGCAGTTTGGGGGTCAGACAGCACTGGGCAGTGCCTTCACCTCTTTGGGCCTCAGTTGCCTTATCTGCAAAATGGGGATGATAATGGCACCCATCTTGTAAGGCCACCACAAACATTAGGTAAGATGTGAGTACAAAGCATTTAGCGTGCTGTCCCACACTCGCAGAGGATAAGGATAGGACACAAGGATGAAAGCTCCACTCAGCCTTCCTTGGTTTAAGACCTGGCTCTACCCTCTCCCCCTGGGGTACTGAGCAGGTTTCTTAACCCCCTGAGCCTCGGGGTCCCCATCTATAAAATGGGTATGATAATTCAAACCTCATAGGCTCTGTTCAAAAATTAACAAGGTAACAGTGAATTGCGGGGCACACCGTGAGCACTCCGTGAGTGTTTCCTCTTACAAATAGCTTACAGTTCTCATCCCAACCTTCTGTCTTCTGTTTCTCGAACCCTCCAAACTCTACCTTTGATCTTATGGCGAGAAATTGGCAAGATGCCAGCTCCGTGGTTACACTGCCCGATTCCATCCCAGGCTGTACCGCTTACACCTGTGTGACCCTGGCCAAGGGACGTCCCCCTGTGAGTCTCGGTTTCCTCTGTCACCTGGGGATAAGGTATCACCCACCCCACAGGATTGTTGTGAGGCTTAAACAATAACATGAAGCACACAGAACAGTGTTTGTACCTTCACAGGATCTCAGCCAATGTTGGCTCATTAGTGTTACTAGGATGTGATATGACAGGTTCACGTCATTGTTCCTTTTCTCTGCGATGCTACGTGTCACCGTCTAACAGACCCTGTCTTTCCATCCACAGGTAGTCTTTGTCGGCATGATGTCCAGCTCCACGCTCTGGGGAAACATCTCAGACCAGTACGGCAGGAAAACAGTAAGGCGACCTCTCCTAAGTGCATGTCCTCTGGGTTATCTCCATGGTGGCGTTGACAAGTAGGAAAACGGTGCTGCTTAGCATTGGGGAGGCCCAATGAGCTCTGTCGAAATGCAATGAGAAGACATTGCTCTGAGGCCGTGGACTCTCGAAATCACACATGCCTAGTGGGGCCCAAGCGTGTACGTTTCAGAATGCAGAAGAAGCTATCGGTGCCCACCCCGGTCCCCTTGGCACTCACCATTCCCTTACACGAGGCTGGGGGCAGTCAAGGGCTGGTAGATAAAGACGTCAACTTTCTGGCCCTAAATGAATCATCCCTCAATCCCAGCAGCATTGAACTCCGGGGCCCACCGTGGGAACCTGTCTGCCTTCCCCACTCCTCCTGGGATCACCATCTAAATAAACTGTTTGTCTAGAATTCTTGTGTCAGGGTCTGCTTTGGGGGAAGCCCAGCCTCAGATACGACATGAAATGGATTTGTAAACAAGAAGGAAGGAGGGAACTTACAGGTCTGGCATCGCATTGAGCTCTTACTGTTTTATCGGTTTGTGACTTCATGGTCCCCTTTGTATTTCACACTGCTCTTGCTTTGCTAGGCTGCCCCTGGGTGCTTTGAATCCTTCAGCAGGTGAAGTTACAGTCGCTCAGGACTAATTGTGCAATTCTGAGTGATTGCACTCCCTGACTGCTTTATTATTCTCTTTCCTGGACTCTCCTCCTCGATCTGCAGCTTCTCCGGAGGCAGGGTGGTGTAATTGGTTACATGCCTGGGCTCTGGAATCAGGTGGATCTGGGTTCAGTCATGACCCTGCCACTCCTGGCTGTGTGACCTTGGGCAAGTGAATTGACCTCTCTGAGCATCAATTTCCTCCTCTGTATAAAGAAAAAAATAACGGAGTCTACATTGGAGGGTTCGTTGAGAGCCTAGGTCTGAATGGCTTTGTACAATGCCAGGCACATCATACGCACAGGACACGTGTGAACTGGATTGCAATGATGGCATTTCTGAGGAGTTCCCAGGGGGCGCTGATGCTGCTGGTCTGGGGCCCATACTTTGAGAACTGACTTAGACTCGTGTAGATATCTAAACAAACTTAGAATTCTGTTAGGAAAGAAGAAGGGAGAGATGGATGCTGAGGAGGTAACAGGTGGGGTCCACTGTAACCAGCATGCCACAGACTGAAAATAACACAGTGCCTTGTATGTAGAGCCCTGTACCAAGCATGATACATGCATCAGCTCACCCAAACCCAGGTACTATTATCAATCTGATTTTATGGAAAGGGAAACTGAGGCGCGGGGTGTGGGCAACTTGCCCAAGCCACGCAGTTTGTATGTCACACAGCCAGGTCTCACTACTTCTAAGTCTAGACTCTTGCCTTAACCATGATGCTATGGCTTGAATCTGTAGATGTTCAATTAATGTATGTTGGCTCAATGGATGGATGGATGGATGGATGGATGGTTGAACAGTGCAGTCCAGCTGCAGCCCCTCCCACTGTGGCTGGACAGGAAACACGTGGGCCAGCAGGCACCTGGGAGACATTGACTTATAAAACCACCAATAAGTGGCTGGGGCAGGACCAGAGGTGACCAGGCTGGGAAACCAACTGCAGCCATTATGGCGCAGGGGCTCCTGGTTGGTTTTAGAGGCTGCAGAGGTCAGTTGGGAAGACCTCTCCAGGCCTCCCAAAGAGAATAGAACCTGGGTGACTCTGGTTTTCAGGCTGTAGCTCTCTAAACTCTGTCCATACACCCCCTCCCACCCCCTTCCTTTTTCTGGAGGGTGTAAGTCATTGCGTCAGCAATTTTCTGGTTGGAAGACAGAACAGAGCCAGAGCTGGAGAGAGGGAGGGAGGGAGGAAGGAGGAAGGGCGGGAGGGATAGAAGAAAGGGTGGATAGAAGGGAGGGAGGTTAGAAGGAAAGGAAGAAGGCAGGAAGGATGGGAGGGAGGATGGAAGGAAAGGAAGAAGGCAGGAAGGAAGGATGGGAGGGAGGATGGAAGGAAAGGAAGAAGGCAGGAAGGAAGGATGGGAGGAATGATGGAAGGAAAGGAAGAAAGCAGGAAGGCAGGAAGGAAGGGAGGGAGGGAGGAAAGAGAGGGAGGGAGGGAGGAAAGGGAAGCCCTCTTAAAATAAAGCAGAGCCATTCTTGGGTGGCACTTCGGCATTGAAAACTGCAAATGTGTGGCTGAGGCTGGACCTAACGTTAGCCTTTGCGGTTTTAAAATAATCAAAGGAGAAAGCTCTTCTAAAGTCTTCACGTGGCCTCTTCCTGTGCAGACTGGGCATGGGGTGGACGACTTGTCCCTCTATCTCTGCCTAAAAACGTTTTTTATTTACTTGCTCTTGAGGCAAACATGCATATGCACACACAAAAATGCAGGAACCCGTCACAAGGAACTTTACTGTGCCCCAAATTCTGTTACCCAATTGCTGAATCATGAAGCCATGAGGAATACAGGGGGGAAGGAGTGAAAATAGCCTGCATTTGGAGCCTGGGTCTGCCACTAGGTGACTAAAGCAAGTTACTTCCCCTTCTTGGGGCCTTAGTTTCCTTATTTATGTCAGGGGAGATTGGATTAGTAATAGCTGATAGTAACAGCTACCATTTATTGAATTCCTGAAACTAAAGGGCAAATGGGTTTGTTGTCCCCTGTGTGTCTGTTGGACTTGAGGAGTGGGAAGGCTCAGTGGGACAGTGCTGTGATCGATTAGTGATGTCTGCCAGGGGCGGGAGGGTGGCCAGGTGAGTGCAGTAAACCCCATGCGGAACGTGGCTGTGCCTGTTTTGCTCCCCGAGGTGGCCCCGGGCACCTGGCAGAGCACCTGCCTTATAGCAGACACTCCATAAATACTTCTCGAGTGGCCAAGCTGGATGGATGAAAATCAGATCTCCTTGTTGCCACTCTCATCCTCTCCAGACCAGCAAGGGACTTTACTGATGAGTGATCTCTGTTTACTGATGAGTGTTCTCTGTTTACCGAGAAGCCCCAAAAGGTCCTTAGCTTACGATCCTGACATCCTTCAGAAGAGCGTGCTCATTCTACCACTAACGTCAGTCGTGCCTACGGTGTTCCCAGGAGGTATGGGATGTAGATGTCTTCGTTTTATGATGAGGAGAAAACTAGAGCTCAGATTTTAAAACGATTCCTAGATGGGTTTTCAGTAATGCCATTTACTGAATCTTGTGAGTTCTGAACACATTTTGGCAACTTCTAGAACAGTAATTCTCGCTGGGGGAGGGAGTGGGCAGATTTTTGTCTCCCCCTTCCTCCCGGGGGGACACTCAGCAATGTCTGGAGATGTTTTTTTTTGGTTGTCACAATGGAGGGGAGGGGTGCTCCTGGCACCTAGTGAGTCAGAGATTCTGCTCGATTTCCCAAAGTCCACAGGACGTTCCAAACTGTGAAGGGCATCAGGTTTGAGAAACCAGGCTTCAGGGTGAATGCACAGGTGATGCCAAGTTGCACTATTGTGGAGAGTTCATTCTGCATCATCTTATTGCATCACCTGGGACTGCTCCGCCCTAATTTCCTATTTACCTCCGGCGCTCATTTGGACAAATGAAATGCTCACGTGCCATCCTTGTGAAAGCATGGACTCTGAGGTCAGACTGCCAAGGTTCAAATCCTGGCTCCTCTACAGGCAGGCTGCATGACCCTGAACAAGTTACTCAACCTCCCTGTGCCTCAGTTTCCTCATCTGTTAGTCAGATAATAATAGTATCCCTTCCATAGAGGCGTTCTAGGAGTCAATGGGCCTTTGCACGGAAAGCTCTTGTCCCAGAGGAAATAATTCATAAATGCCCATTATAGTTTTTATCATTTGCCAAGCGCATGACAATAAATGGCCATGCCAGTGTTAAAATGCAGGTGTGTCTGGCTCCAGAGACCTCATCCGTGGCTGCTGGGAGACATAACTGAATTGTACCCCCGAGTTCAGTTGAGCAGTTCAACATTCATCCATTCCAAACAGATGAAGCCTAAGAGGGTGCCTATAGAGTGGTCCTCTAGCTCTCCCGACCGGAGAGAAGAGAAAAGCGCCCCCAGACTGCAGGGCCCCCTCTTCCCTGCAGGGAATTCTGGCCCAACCACAGGGAGGATGGATCAGGTTCTAATTATAAAGCTTCTGTAGAACTCCTCCAGAAACAGAGGGTGAGCCTGGCAGCTGGCGAGCTTTAGCAAGTGCCAAGAATCTCCTCCTAGCTCCTTGATCTGCCTCCGCCCAGCTGGGAGGCTTCTGGGAGGGAGTCCACTGCATGACTCTGCAAGGGACTCACGTAAGGGGTTAGAACTCAGTGGGCCACTTTGATTCCTACAGAAGCTTCTACACCCTGGGGGCTTATGGCAGCCTCACAAAGGAAGGGCAGCTGTGGGTGTGTAGCCTTGCCGGGATGAAGATGCTCCATCCCCTCCGTCGAGCGAGGGAACATTAAGCAAATTGTTTCACCGCTCTGAGCCTCAGTTTCCCCATCTGTAAAATCAGGTTGACAAGAGCAATAGTTCAGAGGGTTGCTGGGAGGGTTATATGAGAAATGGAGGTAATGCACTTAGAACAGTATTTACTGACCCATGGTTAGCCCATGATCAATGGTAACTATTATTGGCTTCAGCTCAAAGAAGAAACATTTCGGAATATGATCAGGTCGCTAGCTAGTTCAAAAGCTATAGGTTCATGTTATCTGTAAGGAGGGAAAGGGAGGTGGCTGGCAGGCAACAGGCCTCTCCTCTCAATATTTTGAAGATCCCCAGGCCTCCTTGCCCCATGACTATTTTCCTTTTCCTGGGCATGCCCAGAGGACACGAGGGGCGCGGAGCTGACAGCCTTCCAGGGGTGAGCAATGCTCATGATCATAACATCAGCATGCTCCTTTTGGAGGCTGCAGACCTGGCACCCAAGTGGTGGCAAGACCTTCAGCTTCTTGGAGCAGAAGCTTGAAGCCTTTCCAGGCTACAGGTTGTAAACCAGTGAGCCATGAACCTAACATGGTCTACAGATGTCTTTTATTTAACCCATGCAACGCTGTACAGGATTTTGAATCAGCTGCCTCTGTTTAAAAAATAATGTATTATTCATAAAAATAAAGAGTTGTGGGTTGTCTTTTTTTTTTTTTTTTAATTGAGCTATCTGGCAACCCGGGATCCGCATTCTGTGATGGCAACTTTTGGCTAGGGCTGAGTAGAGGCTGACAACACAGGCCAAGTTCTCTTGCATTCACCCATACCCACCTGTCCTTGCTGCATGACACCATCATGTATGTTCTCTGTCAGAGGCAATGGGAGCCATCAAAGGCCCAGGAGGAGGGGAGTGGCTCGTTCAAAGTACGCCATTCGGGGTTGGAAGTCCTGACTCCAGGTTTGACTCTGCTGATCCTGGACAAATCACTCAACTACTTTGACCCTCACTGGGCTAATT